GAGTTTTACATCGGGCAGGATATTAGTGCACCGGGCGTGAGTATCTTGGTCTTTAAGTCTTCATGAAAGTTGTAGCCTTGGATGTTAACTTTCCAATGGAGTTGGAATCACCCAAAAAGGAGGTCTAGAACTCCAGATATGACTGTTTTAGTGAAGAGGGGTCAAGCTGCCAACATTGGTTATAGCTGTTGCGGTTTTTAGAATTTTTAACAAATTATATGATGCAATTAGGACTTGGTCTCTTCATAAGAGTTGTAGGAAATCTTCTTATCTTTCATATGAGATAAAGATGAGCATGATAGGAGTAGTATAACTCTTGATGTGCTGTTTTATGTGAAGATTATCATTTCACAAAGAGTGATTTGGTTAAATTGATAGTTGTTTTGGGTGTTTAATTATTTATGTTGTTATATTGAGTAATTTGGCATGGTTATGAAAAAGTTTGTATGTAATTATAGAATATACTATGTGTGTTTGGTTCGGAAAGCTAATAGGACTTAAAGGAGTAAAGTTATGGTATGGATTGAGAGATCTCTTGGTGAGATCAGGATATAATCTTTGGGAAAATATGGAATTTGGGAGTCCCATGATGAGGATTCCGATATGGAACTTTTCCAAAGATTATATAATAAACCACTTCAGATGTTAGGTGAATTCTGAAGTACTCCTCTAAGTATTCTATTTTCTATGGGAGCAAGGCCGAGTCATACCGATGGATAAAGTGGCCATGATCACAAGTGTTACGTGACGACGTAACCTAACTGTATAATTTCCATGAGAGTTGAGGTGTGTGACATGGGCAGGTGACATGTTCACAAATTCAACACTTGGTTTGGATGTGTTGAGGCCAACATTTGGTTTGGATGTGTTGGCTACTTCATGGGATTATACAGTGGTGTGACTTTGGTTTGGATGTGGAATATGTATGCATTTGGTATGGATTGTATACATTGGTTATAGATTCTTTATTATCATAGAATATGTATGCATTGGCATGGATATGTATACATTGAATTTTGGATTGGTTTATATTTGGCATGGAAATGACTTGTTATAATGTTTTCATTCCCTTGGTATGGATACACACTGTTGATGAATATCTAGTTTAATGATATTTCATTATGTTGTACTATGGTTGGTTTTATATGTGCTAACCCTTATATTTCCATGATGTTGACTGTGATGATCTCACTATGTGAGGGAGCAGATCAGGTGTGAGACTTTGGGATGGCAAGGAGTCTTTTTGGGTAGTTGTTTTGAGAAGTGGCTAGACTTAGAGCTTGACCAGAACCTAGGGTGTCTTATTTTGATACTTTCATGATGTTGTAATTATATTATTTTTTGGATGACTGTATAACCTTACTAATGGTAACTCTTTATAAAATTATGTTTTATCTGATGAAAACAATTTATACGTTATTTTATATTTACACTCTAGTGTAGCTGGCGTTTGCTCTTTATTTTCTTTATTATATATTATTCTTATGTGTCGTTCAATTGTTTGTTGATGTGGCGACCTAAGGCGGGTCGTTACAGCATTGACACTGTTTTAGTGATTTTTCTAGCTTATGAAAACATGTTTGTTATAAATAAAAGAATAATTTCCCAGTTGATCCACCAAGATCATTATAAAGCAGTGTAGTAAATATTAAACAGTTTGTGTGAGTTGGAGGAAATCTAGCGGATCTCTACCTTCATAAGTAGAAATCATGCATCAATCATGCGGAAAGAAGTCATAATTTAAGATACTTAATTATATAAATAAAAGTCTGAGTGACAAATTATGTAATAATATATTATACTTAATGTTATATTACCATATTGCCAAATTTTATGACATTGTTTTATGTTAAAACCTCTCATAGGCATGGACATGGACAATGAACAAAATTTAACTAAAGAAGCTGCTGCTAAAACACGTTTGAAAAGAAAAAAATGTGCTACGCGAAAAGACTGCAAATATATCAATTAGAGTTGAAACTAAACAGCTGTGTTCTAAACAAAGATCAAGAAACAATACTCCACTTTCTGAGATTAGTTTCAACATACTAAATTGGGAGAATGAACAAATTTGTCACTCGAATAATATCTACACACAGCCAAATGTACACCAAATTCTACTAAAAAATAAAAGAAATACAACTCATATTCATTTCCAGGATGAAAACCTATTGAAAAAGTTTGTTGTGGTCGATCATAACTTATCAAATCCAAAAGGAATTAACTTTGGGCCAAGCTTAACCATCACAACATCTACATCAAATCTTAGATTGTCACCAAGTCAATGAATATGTATTGTTTATAATTCCAGGTATTTCTTTCACAGTACAATCTAACATTTTAAATACTTAAGTGTGATAAATAGTAGTTTCAACTTAATTGACTATTTTTTTGTTGATATTGTTGTAGGCGATGAAATAAAATACCTTAACTATGATTCTATTGAGAATTCACAGTCAACTAAAAGCCAAACTTTTGATGTACTCACACCTGAGTTTTTAAATTCTCTTAGAACATCCTGTCTTCCAAATCATAAAATTAAATTAAAGATTGGAACACCTGTGATGCTTTTAAGGAATTTAGATCAATCTTAAAGATTGTGTAATGGTACCCGCATGATTGTTACAAGACTAGCTAATTATGTCATTGAAGCAAAGATAATGTCTAAAAATTCAAACGAAAATGAGATTTATGTACCACTAATGCCTATGTCTCCATCACAATCTTCATGGCCTTTTAAGTTGATTAGGAGACAATTTCCAATCATTGTTTCCTATGCAATGACAACTAATAAGTCCCAAGGTCAATCGTTAGCAAATGTTGGATTATATTTACCTAGGCTAGTGTTTAGTCATGAGTAATTATATGTTACAATTTCTAGAGTTCAAAGCAAATAGTGGCTAAAGATCTTGATTCATGACAAAGAAAATAAACTATTAATGTCTACTACTAATGTTATTTTTAAGGAGGTCTTCCAGAACCTTTAAAAGTATTGCAAAACCTTTAATAGGTAAGAAATCATATATAGGTATAACTTTTTAATTGTAGTTGTTCTTTCAAAATTTCTATATATAGATATATTTTTATTTTTCTAATACTTAAATACTCAATATATACGCTGCATGGTAGAATATAAGAGTTCAATTGTAAAACTTAATTACACAAAATACAATTTATGAATGTAGGGGCATTTGATGTCATATGTACAAATATTGTTATGCCAAGTATCTTTAATACTATGCTTCTAGGTCTTATACCATACTAGATACAATGGAACCAAACATTGTGAGTATCAAATTTATATAAATTTTTAACCATATCAAACTTTATCACCTCAAACCTATAATTACTAATTTTTTTTTTAACTTTTTGTGCAGTTGCTACATTGATGGAGGATATACAACAATTTTCACATGTTGCTAATTGAAGAATACATGCATATTTTTGACATGCAGACATATACAACACTTTTATGACTCATTAGTTGTATTCTTCAATTAAATACTTTTGATTACATTTATACCACTTTGGGACTTATTAGATGTATTTCATAAAGACATCAACAAATGTGAATGTTAAAAGTATTTTCATGAATAATTGTTATCTAATCATATAATATAAAATATTTTATATCTTTTTATTTTGATGTGTACTAGATTATTAATTAAATTTTTTTATCTATGTCCCTATTTTTATGATTATCCTTTTTTTTATACTAATTTTTAAATTTTTTTATTAACTTTTAATTCTTACTAAAAAAAATATAATAATACGAACCAACTTAACCCGTGCACACGCACTAATAAAATAAATATCAATTACTCATCAAGAAAAATATAAATGAAAATATTTTGTGTATTATTTTTAATTTTTATTCATATATGTTATGTTACTAAATATTATATCACTTTTTTTTAGGGAAAAATATTATATCACTTAAGTAGTGATAAATCAACACATACTATTAAAATTTAATAATTAACGAGCATCAAATCGATGAGTAGACAAAAATTTTGTATTTTAAAAAATAGAAAGATTAAATGTCTCTATTTTAAAATTAGAGAAATCAAAATTATAGATGGATAAAAATAAAAAAATTAAAAATACAATTTAGCTTAATTACAAATTATTAACATTCATACATTTTAAAAAAAAATCACATAATATTTCATTGAAGTATCAATTTCTTCTCTTAATAATTCCCTCCATAATAATAAAAAATAATTCTCTTGATACTTTTAATTCTAAAAATAAATCAATATTTTCTAAAAATAAATTATTATCACTAATATTGAAATTTTTATTAAAACTTAAATTTTTTCAAAATTAAAACAACATTTTTTTTACTTCATCTTCCTATATAAATTTTTAAATTCAAATAAAAACAAAAATTAGTCTCATATTACAATTTTAATTAATTCTACCCATTATAATTTTACGATTATGTTATGTTAAAATTTATAACCTAATCTTAGTTTTCTTGATTAATTTTACTCTATTAGCTGAGATTGAAACAATGATTACAATTAGAAATGATCTGACTTGTTTAAAATTAAGTTTTACTTAAACTATTTAATAAAAAGACAAAGATTAGATTTTAAAAATATTAAAAATTAGTATACATATTATATTATTAATAATATAAATAAATAAATAAATTTGTAATATAAAAAATAAAAATATTAATAATTTTAACGTTTTTACTAACTTAATTAAATATTTTACATTTTTATATGTTCTTTTCCTTCATCTTTCCATTTGTTTATTTAGAATAATCTAAATAAAATATAAAAAATATTTAGAAAATATTTTATTTAAATAGATGTGTGCATATGAATTATCTCTTTAATATTAATTTTTTATTTTTATTTTAAATTATAAATTTTAATAATAATAAAAGAAATTATTTATTTTTATTATACATGACTGGATACTAGAAATAAAAAAAAATGAATGAAAAAGAAAATTATGCACCTATGAAACGAGGCGTTTAACTTACCCTGTCGTATTGTTTATTTTAGAGGGGTTAGGGTTTTAACGTTAAAGTGAGCGGCACAATATCGCAGTTCCTCAGCAGCTTCATCTCCTTATCTCGCAACCTCGTTTCCTCTGTGTAGCAGAGGTTATCGAAGTGTAACGTTAATTATCTTAGTTTGTTCTGTCACATCGAGATGGGAGCAAAGGCAAAGAAAGCTTTGAAGAAGAACATGAAAAGGGCTTCCTCCAGTAAGCCATCTCAAGGTGCAGATTTTTTGGTAAATCAATGCTAATAACACTTCCTCTCTATTTTCTATTATGTTTTTCAAATTTTTATGTTAATTGTGTGCCTAATTTTGTTTCTCAATCTGTGAAGCCCTTGGAAGGTGGTCCTGCTCGCAAGCTCCCCGAACAGAAGCCGCTGGAGAATACTGCCACCGTGTTGTACGTCGGTCGGATTCCTCACGGATTCTATGAGAAGGAGATGGAAGGTGCTTATGAGATTTGTTGTTTTTCTGATTTTAGATGATTTTTTTTTATGGAATGTGTGTTTATGATTGTATTTTTGTAGGTTATTTTGGGCAATTTGGAACCATCAAGAGATTGAGAATTTCGCGGAATAAAAGGGTTAGTGGCATGATTGTTTACTTCTCTCCTTTATATCTTTGTTTGTTATTGTTTACATAACTGTTTGGTTTTGTCAACTGGATGATGATGTGTGGAAATCTTTGATTATATTATACTAGTCTATTTACTCGTATGAGGTTGGTGGTACATCCATGAATTCGATGGTCTTCTTTTTGTTGAATGCTTTATTCTGGTGTGCTTGTGTGTAGGTGTATATAGTGTGTCAGGGGAGAGGATGCACTTTTGAATGGAGTTAATTTTGTCATCTTTCGTGTATGGTTGTATGTTCAAGATTTACTTTTTTGTCTCATGCTCAGTTTGCGTATCCGTGTTTTTCATTAAGAAAATGTTCTATTGCAAAACCTTCAAATGTTTTGTTAATAGTTGTATGTTCCTTATCTTTAGCATTCCTGGAGGATAAAGCTTGTGTGAATTGATATTTTAATAATTCTGCTTTTGTTTGGTTCTCAATGTTTCGAAGGAAGTATGAATTTTAAGTGTTCAAGTTATTTGTTTCACTAAATACTTTGGTTCAGCAATAATTTGCTGTTGTTGAATTACCATTTTAGTGATGATTGATACTGACTATGTGTTTCTTGTATGCTTAACAGACTGGAAAATCAAGACATTTTGGGTTCATAGAATTTGAATCTCCCGAGGTACTAGTTGTTTCGGCTGATTGATTGATATGTTGTGACTTTTGACTAATATATTTTTTGCAATTATCTTTTTCTAATATCGCCTTGATTTGTATAGGTAGCAAAAATTGTAGCTGATACTATGCACAATTATCTCCTTTTTGAACACCTTCTCCAAGTCTATGTGATACCTCCGGAGCAAGTTCATCCAAGATTGTAAGTTATTATTATTTTTTTCCATACCTATTTTCTTTTTTAAGGATTCATTATTTGTTCTCTTAATCGTCGACTGTGTCTGCTAGTGTCAAATTATCCATTTCATTTCATCTCCTCTGTTTTGATTTGTGTAAAAGAGAAAGATATTTAATAAGTGTATCGAAGAAAACGCTATTGGACAATAAGGAATTCCCTACTCCCTAGAATATTTTGGGGGTGGGGGGGTTGGCTAGAGTCAAGGATAGAAGAAAGATAAATCAGCAGCCTAAAGCCTTTCAATCCCTTTGTATGCCAGATAAATAGATTTATTATCAGTTCTGTTCTGTAGAATTCTATCAATTTTTTGTTGTATTAGAGGCCCATTGGTTTGGTGATATTTGTTCTAGATGATTGTATGCAAGATTATTAAGTTGAACCCAATCACCAAATGAGAACACTATCTCAAAAAATACTGAGTAGAAGCCCAAACAGTAGCCAGGAAAACTATCATATTTCAATATGTGTAAGAGCAATTGTCTTTTAACCAATACTTCCCCCCCCCCCCCCCCCCCCCCCC